TATCTCTAGGGGCGCCTATCTCTAGGGGCGCCTATCTCTATGGGCGCCTATCTCTAGGGCGCCTATCTCTAGGGGCGCCTATCTCTAGGGGCGCCTATCTCTAGGGGCGCCTATCTCTAGGGGCGCCTATCTCTAGGGGCGCCTATCTCTAGGGGCGCCTATCTCTATGGGCGCCTATCTCTAGGGGCGCCTATCTCTAGGGGCGCCTATCTCTATGGGCGCCTATCTCTAGGGGCGCCTATCTCTAGGGGCGCCTATCTCTAGGGGCGCCTATCTCTAGGGGCGCCTATCTCTAGGGGCGCCTATCTCTAGGGGCGCCTATCTCTAGGGGCGCCTATCTCTAGGGGCGCCTATCTCTAGGGGCGCCTATCTCTAGGGGCGCCTATCTCTAGGGGCGCCTATCTCTATGGGCGCCTATCTCTATGGGCGCCTATCTCTAGGGGCGCCTATCTCTAGGGGCGCCTATCTCTAGGGGCGCCTATCTCTAGGGGCGCCTATCTCTAGGGGCGCCTATCTCTAGGGGCGCCTATCTCTAGGGGCGCCTATCTCTAGGGGCGCCTATCTCTAGGGGCGCCTATCTCTAGGGGCGCCTATCTCTATGGGCGCCTATCTCTAGGGGCGCCTATCTCTAGGGGCGCCTATCTCTAGGGGCGCCTATCTCTAGGGGCGCCTATCTCTAGGGGCGCCTATCTCTAGGGGCGCCTATCTCTATGGGCGCCTATCTCTAGGGGCGCCTATCTCTAGGGGCGCCTATCTCTAGGGGCGCCTATCTCTAGGGGCGCCTATCTCTAGGGGCGCCTATCTCTAGGGGCGCCTATCTCTAGGGGCGCCTATCTCTAGGGGCGCCTATCTCTAGGGGCGCCTATCTCTAGGGGCGCCTATCTCTAGGGGCGCCTATCTCTAGGGGCGCCTATCTCTAGGGGCGCCTATCTCTATGGGCGCCTATCTCTAGGGGCGCCTATCTCTAGGGGCGCCTATCTCTAGGGCGGCCTATCTCTAGGGGCGCCTATCTCTAGGGGCGCCTATCTCTAGGGGCGCCTATCTCTATGGGCGCCTATCTCTAGGGGCGCCTATCTCTATGGGCGCCTATCTCTATGGGCGCCTATCTCTAGGGGCGCCTATCTCTATGGGCGCCTATCTCTATGGGCGCCTATCTCTAGGGGCGCCTATCTCTAGGGGCGCCTATCTCTATGGGCGCCTATCTCTATGGGGCGCCTATCTCTATGGGCGCCTATCTCTATGGGCGCCTATCTCTAGGGGCGCCTATCTCTAGGGGCGCCTATCTCTATGGGCGCCTATCTCTATGGGCGCCTATCTCTATGGGCGCCTATCTCTAGGGGCGCCTATCTCTAGGGGCGCCTATCTCTAGGGGCGCCTATCTCTAGGGGCGCCTATCTCTAGGGGCGCCTATCTCTAGGGGCGCCTATCTCTAGGGGCGCCTATCTCTAGGGGCGCCTATCTCTAGGGGCGCCTATCTCTAGGGGCGCCTATCTCTAGGGGCGCCTATCTCTAGGGGCGCCTATCTCTAGGGGCGCCTATCTCTAGGGGCGCCTATCTCTAGGGGCGCCTATCTCTAGGGGCGCCTATCTCTAGGGGCGCCTATCTCTATGGGCGCCTATCTCTAGGGGCGCCTATCTCTAGGGGCGCCTATCTCTAGGGGCGCCTATCTCTAGGGGCGCCTATCTCTAGGGGCGCCTATCTCTAGGGGCGCCTATCTCTAGGGGCGCCTATCTCTATGGGCGCCTATCTCTAGGGGCGCCTATCTCTAGGGCGCCTATCTCTAGGGGCGCCTATCTCTAGGGGCGCCTATCTCTAGGGGCGCCTATCTCTAGGGGCGCCTATCTCTAGGGGCGCCTATCTCTAGGGGCGCCTATCTCTAGGGGCGCCTATCTCTAGGGGCGCCTATCTCTAGGGGCGCCTATCTCTAGGGGCGCCTATCTCTAGGGGCGCCTATCTCTAGGGGCGCCTATCTCTAGGGCGCCTATCTCTAGGGGCGCCTATCTCTAGGGGCGCCTATCTCTAGGGGCGCCTATCTCTAGGGGCGCCTATCTCTAGGGGCGCCTATCTCTATGGGCGCCTATCTCTAGGGGCGCCTATCTCTAGGGGCGCCTATCTCTAGGGGCGCCTATCTCTAGGGGCGCCTATCTCTAGGGGCGCCTATCTCTAGGGGCGCCTATCTCTAGGGGCGCCTATCTCTAGGGGCGCTATCTCTAAGGGCGCCTATCTCTAGGGGCGCCTATCTCTAGGGGCGCCTATCTCTAGGGGCGCCTATCTCTATGGGCGCCTATCTCTAGGGGCGCCTATCTCTAGGGGCGCCTATCTCTAGGGCGCCTATCTCTAGGGGCGCCTATCTCTAGGGGCGCCTATCTCTATGGGCGCCTATCTCTAGGGGCGCCTATCTCTATGGGCGCCTATCTCTAGGGGCGCCTATCTCTAGGGGCGCCTATCTCTAGGGGCGCCTATCTCTAGGGGCGCCTATCTCTAGGGGCGCCTATCTCTAAGGGCGCCTATCTCTAGGGGCGCCTATCTCTAGGGGCGCCTATCTCTAGGGGCGCCTATCTCTAGGGGCGCCTATCTCTAGGGGCGCCTATCTCTAGGGGCGCCTATCTCTAGGGGCGCCTATCTCTAGGGGCGCCTATCTCTATGGGCGCCTATCTCTAGGGGCGCCTATCTCTATGGGCGCCTATCTCTATGGGCGCCTATCTCTATGGGCGCCTATCTCTATGGGCGCCTATCTCTAGGGGCGCCTATCTCTAGGGCGCCTATCTCTAGGGGCGCCTATCTCTAGGGGCGCCTATCTCTAGGGGCGCCTATCTCTAGGGGCGCCTATCTCTAGGGGCGCCTATCTCTAGGGGCGCCTATCTCTAGGGCGCCTATCTCTAGGGGCGCCTATCTCTAAGGGCGCCTATCTCTATGGGCGCCTATCTCTAGGGGCGCCTATCTCTAGGGGCGCCTATCTCTAGGGGCGCCTATCTCTAGGGGCGCCTATCTCTAGGGCGCCTATCTCTAGGGCGCCTATCTCTAGGGCGCCTATCTCTAAGGGCGCCTATCTCTAGGGGCGCCTATCTCTAGGGCGCCTATCTCTAGGGGCGCCTATCTCTAGGGCGCCTATCTCTAGGGGCGCCTATCTCTAGGGGCGCCTATCTCTATGGGCGCCTATCTCTAGGGGCGCCTATCTCTAGGGGCGCCTATCTCTAGGGGCGCCTATCTCTAGGGGCGCCTATCTCTATGGGCGCCTATCTCTATGGGCGCCTATCTCTAGGGGCGCCTATCTCTAGGGGCGCCTATCTCTAGGGGCGCCTATCTCTAAGGGCGCCTATCTCTATGGGCGCCTATCTCTAGGGGCGCCTATCTCTAGGGGCGCCTATCTCTAGGGGCGCCTATCTCTAGGGGCGCCTATCTCTAGGGGCGCCTATCTCTATGGGCGCCTATCTCTAGGGGCGCCTATCTCTATGGGCGCCTATCTCTAGGGGCGCCTATCTCTAGGGGCGCCTATCTCTAGGGGCGCCTATCTCTATGGGCGCCTATCTCTAGGGGCGCTATCTCTAGGGGCGCCTATCTCTAGGGGCGCCTATCTCTAGGGGCGCCTATCTCTAGGGGCGCCTATCTCTATGGGCGCCTATCTCTAGGGGCGCCTATCTCTAGGGGCGCCTATCTCTAGGGGCGCCTATCTCTATGGGCGCCTATCTCTAGGGGCGCCTATCTCTAGGGGCGCCTATCTCTAGGGGCGCCTATCTCTAGGGGCGCCTATCTCTATGGGCGCCTATCTCTAGGGCGCCTATCTCTAGGGGCGCCTATCTCTAGGGCGCCTATCTCTAGGGGCGCCTATCTCTATGGGCGCCTATCTCTAGGGGCGCCTATCTCTAGGGGCGCCTATCTCTAGGGGCGCCTATCTCTAGGGGCGCCTATCTCTAGGGGCGCCTATCTCTAGGGGCGCCTATCTCTAGGGGCGCCTATCTCTAGGGGCGCCTATCTCTATGGGCGCCTATCTCTAGGGGCGCCTATCTCTAGGGGCGCCTATCTCTAGGGGCGCCTATCTCTAGGGGCGCCTATCTCTAGGGGCGCCTATCTCTAGGGGCGCCTATCTCTAGGGGCGCCTATCTCTAGGGGCGCCTATCTCTATGGGCGCCTATCTCTAGGGGCGCCTATCTCTAGGGGCGCCTATCTCTAGGGGCGCCTATCTCTAGGGGCGCCTATCTCTAGGGGCGCCTATCTCTAGGGGCGCCTATCTCTAGGGGCGCCTATCTCTAGGGCGCCTATCTCTAGGGGCGCCTATCTCTAGGGGCGCCTATCTCTAGGGGCGCCTATCTCTATGGGCGCCTATCTCTATGGGCGCCTATCTCTAGGGGCGCCTATCTCTAGGGGCGCCTATCTCTAGGGGCGCCTATCTCTAGGGGCGCCTATCTCTAAGGGCGCCTATCTCTATGGGCGCCTATCTCTAGGGGCGCCTATCTCTATGGGCGCCTATCTCTAGGGGCGCCTATCTCTAGGGGCGCCTATCTCTAGGGGCGCCTATCTCTAAGGGCGCCTATCTCTAGGGGCGCCTATCTCTAGGGGCGCCTATCTCTAGGGGCGCCTATCTCTAGGGGCGCCTATCTCTAGGGGCGCCTATCTCTAGGGGCGCCTATCTCTAGGGGCGCCTATCTCTAGGGGCGCCTATCTCTATGGGCGCCTATCTCTATGGGCGCCTATCTCTATGGGCGCCTATCTCTAGGGGCGCCTATCTCTAGGGGCGCCTATCTCTAGGGGCGCCTATCTCTAGGGGCGCCTATCTCTATGGGCGCCTATCTCTAGGGGCGCCTATCTCTAGGGGCGCCTATCTCTAGGGGCGCCTATCTCTAGGGGCGCCTATCTCTAGGGGCGCCTATCTCTAGGGGCGCCTATCTCTAGGGGCGCCTATCTCTAGGGGCGCCTATCTCTAGGGGCGCCTATCTCTAGGGGCGCCTATCTCTAGGGGCGCCTATCTCTAGGGGCGCCTATCTCTAGGGGCGCCTATCTCTATGGGCGCCTATCTCTATGGGTCTCTATGGGCGCCTATCTCTAGGGGCGCCTATCTCTATGGGCGCCTATCTCTAGGGGCGCCTATCTCTAAGGGCGCCTATCTCTAGGGGCGCCTATCTCTAGGGGCGCCTATCTCTAGGGGCGCCTATCTCTAGGGGCGCCTATCTCTAGGGGCGCCTATCTCTAGGGGCGCCTATCTCTAGGGGCGCCTATCTCTAAGGGCGCCTATCTCTAGGGCGCCTATCTCTAGGGGCGCCTATCTCTAGGGCGCCTATCTCTAGGGGCGCCTATCTCTATGGGCGCCTATCTCTATGGGCGCCTATCTCTAGGGGCGCCTATCTCTATGGGCGCCTATCTCTATGGGCGCCTATCTCTATGGGCGCCTATCTCTATGGGCGCCTATCTCTATGGGCGCCTATCTCTATGGGCGCCTATCTCTATGGGCGCCTATCTCTATGGGCGCCTATCTCTATGGGCGCCTATCTCTATGGGCGCCTATCTCTATGGGCGCCTATCTCTATGGGCGCCTATCTCTATGGGCGCCTATCTCTAGGGGCGCCTATCTCTATGGGCGCCTATCTCTATGGGCGCCTATCTCTATGGGCGCCTATCTCTATGGGCGCCTATCTCTAGGGGCGCCTATCTCTATGGGCGCCTATCTCTAGGGGCGCCTATCTCTAGGGGCGCCTATCTCTAGGGGCGCCTATCTCTAGGGGCGCCTATCTCTAGGGGCGCCTATCTCTAGGGGCGCCTATCTCTATGGGCGCCTATCTCTAGGGGCGCCTATCTCTAGGGCGCCTATCTCTAGGGGCGCCTATCTCTATGGGCGCCTATCTCTATGGGCGCCTATCTCTAGGGGCGCCTATCTCTATGGGCGCCTATCTCTATGGGCGCCTATCTCTATGGGCGCCTATCTCTATGGGCGCCTATCTCTAGGGGCGCCTATCTCTATGGGCGCCTATCTCTATGGGCGCCTATCTCTATGGGCGCCTATCTCTATGGGCGCCTATCTCTATGGGCGCCTATCTCTATGGGCGCCTATCTCTATGGGCGCCTATCTCTATGGGCGCCTATCTCTAGGGCGCCTATCTCTATGGGCGCCTATCTCTATGGGCGCCTATCTCTATGGGCGCCTATCTCTATGGGCGCCTATCTCTAGGGGCGCCTATCTCTATGGGCGCCTATCTCTAGGGCCGCCTATCTCTAGGGGCGCCTATCTCTAGGGGCGCCTATCTCTAGGGGCGCCTATCTCTAGGGGCGCCTATCTCTAGGGGCGCCTATCTCTAGGGGCGCCTATCTCTAGGGGCGCCTATCTCTATGGGCGCCTATCTCTATGGGCGCCTATCTCTATGGGCGCCTATCTCTAGGGGCGCCTATCTCTAGGGGCGCCTATCTCTAGGGGCGCCTATCTCTAGGGGCGCCTATCTCTAGGGGCGCCTATCTCTAGGGGCGCCTATCTCTAGGGGCGCCTATCTCTAGGGGCGCCTATCTCTAGGGGCGCCTATCTCTAGGGGCGCCTATCTCTAGGGGCGCCTATCTCTAGGGGCGCCTATCTCTATGGGCGCCTATCTCTAGGGGCGCCTATCTCTATGGGCGCCTATCTCTAGGGGCGCCTATCTCTAAGGGCGCCTATCTCTAGGGGCGCCTATCTCTAGGGGCGCCTATCTCTATGGGCGCCTATCTCTAGGGGCGCCTATCTCTAGGGGCGCCTATCTCTAGGGGCGCCTATCTCTAGGGGCGCCTATCTCTAGGGGCGCCTATCTCTAGGGGCGCCTATCTCTAGGGGCGCCTATCTCTAAGGGCGCCTATCTCTAGGGGCGCCTATCTCTAGGGGCGCCTATCTCTAGGGGCGCCTATCTCTAGGGGCGCCTATCTCTAGGGGCGCCTATCTCTATGGGCGCCTATCTCTATGGGTCTCTATGGGCGCCTATCTCTATGGGCGCCTATCTCTATGGGCCCCTATCTCTAGGGGCGCCTATCTCTAAGGGCGCCTATCTCTAGGGGCGCCTATCTCTAAGGGCGCCTATCTCTAGGGGCGCCTATCTCTAGGGGCGCCTATCTCTAGGGGCGCCTATCTCTAGGGGCGCCTATCTCTAGGTGCGCCTATCTCTAAGGGCGCCTATCTCTATGGGCGCCTATCTCTAGGGGCGCCTATCTCTATGGGCGCCTATCTCTAGGGGCGCCTATCTCTAGGGGCGCCTATCTCTAGGGGCGCCTATCTCTAAGGGCGCCTATCTCTAGGGGTGCCTATCTCTAGGGGCGCCTATCTCTAGGGGCGCCTATCTCTAGGGGCGCCTATCTCTAGGGGCGCCTATCTCTAGGGGCGCCTATCTCTAGGGGCGCCTATCTCTAGGGGCGCCTATCTCTATGGGCGCCTATCTCTATGGGTGCCTATCTCTATGGGCGCCTATCTCTAGGGGCGCCTATCTCTAAGGGCGCCTATCTCTAGGGGCGCCTATCTCTAGGGGCGCCTATCTCTATGGGCGCCTATCTCTAGGGGCGCCTATCTCTAGGGGCGCCTATCTCTAGGGGCGCCTATCTCTAGGGGCGCCTATCTCTAGGGGCGCCTATCTCTAGGGGCGCCTATCTCTAGGGGCGCCTATCTCTAAGGGCGCCTATCTCTAGGGGCGCCTATCTCTAGGGGCGCCTATCTCTAGGGGCGCCTATCTCTAGGGGCGCCTATCTCTAGGGGCGCCTATCTCTATGGGCGCCTATCTCTATGGGTCTCTATGGGCGCCTATCTCTATGGGCGCCTATCTCTATGGGCCCCTATCTCTAGGGGCGCCTATCTCTAAGGGCGCCTATCTCTAGGGGCGCCTATCTCTAAGGGCGCCTATCTCTAGGGGCGCCTATCTCTAGGGGCGCCTATCTCTAGGGGCGCCTATCTCTAGGGGCGCCTATCTCTAGGTGCGCCTATCTCTAAGGGTGCCTATCTCTATGGGCGCCTATCTCTAGGGGCGCCTATCTCTAGGTGCGCCTATCTCTACGGGCGCCTATCTCTATGGGCGCCTATCTCTATGGGCGCCTATCTCTAGGGGCGCCTATCTCTATGGGCGCCTATCTCTATGGGCGCCTATCTCTATGGGCGCCTATCTCTATGGGCGCCTATCTCTATGGGCGCCTATCTCTAGGGGCGCCTATCTCTATGGGCGCCTATCTCTATGGGCGCCTATCTCTATGGGCGCCTATCTCTATGGGCGCCTATCTCTATGGGCGCCTATCTCTATGGGCGCCTATCTCTATGGGCGCCTATCTCTAGGGGCGCCTATCTCTATGGGCGCCTATCTCTATAGGCGCCTATCTCTATGGGCGCCTATCTCTATGGGCGCCTATCTCTAGGGGCGCCTATCTCTATGGGCGCCTATCTCTAGGGGCGCCTATCTCTAGGGGCGCCTATCTCTAGGGGCGCCTATCTCTAGGGGCGCCTATCTCTAGGGGCGCCTATCTCTAAGGGCGCCTATCTCTATGGGCGCCTATCTCTAGGGGCGCCTATCTCTAGGGGCGCCTATCTCTAGGGCGCCTATCTCTATGGGCGCCTATCTCTATGGGCGCCTATCTCTAGGGGCGCCTATCTCTATGGGCGCCTATCTCTATGGGCGCCTATCTCTATGGGCGCCTATCTCTATGGGCGCCTATCTCTATGGGCGCCTATCTCTATGGGCGCCTATCTCTATGGGCGCCTATCTCTATGGGCGCCTATCTCTATGGGCGCCTATCTCTATGGGCGCCTATCTCTATGGGCGCCTATCTCTATGGGCGCCTATCTCTATGGGCGCCTATCTCTAGGGGCGCCTATCTCTATGGGCGCCTATCTCTATGGGCGCCTATCTCTATGGGCGCCTATCTCTATGGGCGCCTATCTCTAGGGGCGCCTATCTCTATGGGCGCCTATCTCTAGGGCCGCCTATCTCTAGGGGCGCCTATCTCTAGGGGCGCCTATCTCTAGGGGCGCCTATCTCTAGGGGCGCCTATCTCTAGGGGCGCCTATCTCTAGGGGCGCCTATCTCTAGGGGCGCCTATCTCTATGGGCGCCTATCTCTATGGGCGCCTATCTCTATGGGCGCCTATCTCTAGGGGCGCCTATCTCTAGGGGCGCCTATCTCTAGGGGCGCCTATCTCTATGGGCGCCTATCTCTATGGGCGCCTATCTCTAGGGGCGCCTATCTCTATGGGCGCCTATCTCTAGGGGCGCCTATCTCTAGGGGCGCCTATCTCTAGGGGCGCCTATCTCTATGGGCGCCTATCTCTATGGGCGCCTATCTCTAGGGGCGCCTATCTCTAGGGGCGCCTATCTCTAGGGGCGCCTATCTCTAGGGGCGCCTATCTCTAGGGGCGCCTATCTCTAGGGGCGCCTATCTCTAGGGGCGCCTATCTCTAGGGGCGCCTATCTCTAGGGGCGCCTATCTCTAGGGGCGCCTATCTCTAGGGGCGCCTATCTCTGTGGGCGCCTATCTCTATGGGCGCCTATCTCTAGGGGCGCCTATCTCTAGGGCGCCTATCTCTAGGGGCGCCTATCTCTAGGGGCGCCTATCTCTATGGGCGCCTATCTCTAGGGGCGCCTATCTCTATGGGCGCCTATCTCTAGGGGCGCCTATCTCTAGGGGCGCCTATCTCTATGGGCGCCTATCTCTATGGGCGCCTATCTCTAGGGGCGCCTATCTCTAGGGGCGCCTATCTCTATGGGCGCCTATCTCTAGGGGCGCCTATCTCTAGGGGCGCCTATCTCTAGGGGCGCCTATCTCTAGGGGCGCCTATCTCTAGGGGCGCCTATCTCTATGGGCGCCTATCTCTATGGGCGCCTATCTCTAGGGGCGCCTATCTCTAGGGGCGCCTATCTCTAGGGGCGCCTATCTCTAGGGGCGCCTATCTCTAGGGGCGCCTATCTCTGTGGGCGCCTATCTCTATGGGCGCCTATCTCTAGGGGCGCCTATCTCTAGGGGCGCCTATCTCTAGGGGCGCCTATCTCTAGGGGCGCCTATCTCTATGGGCGCCTATCTCTAGGGGCGCCTATCTCTATGGGCGCCTATCTCTAGGGGCGCCTATCTCTAGGGGCGCCTATCTCTATGGGCGCCTATCTCTAGGGGCGCCTATCTCTAGGGGCGCCTATCTCTAGGGGCGCCTATCTCTTGGGCGCCTATCTCTAGGGGCGCCTATCTCTATGGGCGCCTATCTCTAGGGGCGCCTATCTCTAGGGGCGCCTATCTCTAGGGGCGCCTATCTCTAGGGGCGCCTATCTCTATGGGCGCCTATCTCTAGGGGCGCCTATCTCTATGGGCGCCTATCTCTATGGGCGCCTATCTCTAGGGGCGCCTATCTCTAGGGGCGCCTATCTCTATGGGCGCCTATCTCTGTGGGCGCCTATCTCTGTGGGCGCCTATCTCTATGGGCGCCTATCTCTAGGGGCGCCTATCTCTAGGGGCGCCTATCTCTAGGGGCGCCCATCTCTAGGGGCGCCTATCTCTAGGGGCGCCTATCTCTAGGGGCGCCTATCTCTATGGGCGCCTATCTCTAGGGGCGCCTATCTCTAGGGGCGCCTATCTCTATGGGCGCCTATCTCTGTGGGCGCCTATCTCTAGGGGCGCCTATCTCTGTGGGCGCCTATCTCTAGGGGCCCCTATCTCTAGGGGCGCCTA